GAATTTTGTTCTTCGGCGCTCGCTCTAAGACATGTTTCCCCATACTTTGTGAACCAAACCTTCTTGTTTTTTATGAAAAGTCGATTAAGGATTGGTGCTAGAACCATTGCAATGAATGTTCCTTCGGACATATCCTCGAGAAGTACATTTACGTCTTCAATAAGCTCGATCCTATATAAACCATGGTTAATTAGTCTTATTGCACTTATCGGTGAAAATCGAGCAAAATATAAACTCACATGTGGTTCACAAAAAATATTGCAAAATCCTCCTCGAACGTATCGTTCTTTTGTAATTTAAGATTTTTCTTAGTTTCCTTTATGTCGCGAGTAATAATATTATTCAGAAATGACTTTGTTTTTTTTTCAATATTATCTTCAGTTTTATCATCCTTTCTCTCTATTTCCTTACGCATCTGTATAACGACGTTTTCCTCCAGTGTCCCCAAAAACCCATCTTGATTTTTGTCAGTGAACAATATTACGTCATAATATTCTGGTCTTGTTTTTGGAAGACCTGTTTCCTGATACTCTGTGAGTCTTTGATAGATGTTAATCCCATTCACTATCCAACTAGTACTTTTGCCACCAATAATTGTTCGTTTCGCGTCATACTCCTCTTCATCCACCTCATTATCAAGGTCACGTTTAATTCCTTGTGATGATTCAGGGTTTGGATCAGTTGTTAATAAATTATAGCCTGTCGTTATCTGTTTTTCTTGTACTTTATGTCCACTAACAGATACGTCAGCTTGGGTGAACACCATGTAAATCGTGGAATTTGCAGACCTTGCGGTGTTAGCCAATAATTTAAGCTATATATGATTTTAAAATATTTATAAGCTACACATCCTAATAAAAAATATTTGTTAGGATAGTGCAAGATACTTACTCTGTTCTCGAGGATATCCGACCTAATCGAATAGGCTGTGACTTGGTTTTCATGAGTTTTTAGCAATTCTGCACACTCCTTTTTGTCTACTTTATATTTTTCAATTAGCTTCAACGCCATAGTCTTCTGCTCGTCATCAAACTCCGATGACTTACAAATATTTTGTAGTCCTTCTTTGTAGAAATAAAGGCAGTCACTTTTTACGAAACCTGGTCCAGAACGCGTTTCAATGAAAGAGCTAAGTTTCTACTGTTCGGAAGGAGTAGTGAGAAAATATGGATCAATAAAGCCTTTCATGGTGAAACTTTCGAATTTCTGTGGTGGAAGTTTAATATAAAAGGTGCATTCAGTTAATAGAACGCGACACAAAATCTTAAATATCACGTGGTTGAAATCTATCGGTGGCTTAGACTTTTAAACCCCATGACCATAA